AAATCACAGTGAAAAGTCTTAAACGTTAACAATATTTTTCCTAATGTTAATGTATGGACAATGAGTTTGTCATTTTAGCTTTTCCCCAAACTAAGTAAGAACCACTTATCATACATTTTCCTTTATTTTGTTGCTGTAGCTTTTTTAATTTTCAGATTTTCAAACTGTATAAGGAAGATAAATACCCAAAATAAGGAAAACTCAAGAACATGGGGATCAAATGAAATAATTTAAGAGCTTCATAAACTATTTTTAAAAAAGAAATAATAATTTCTTGTGAAACTAACCCACACATAAATAACTCTGGGGTAATTATTTATATAGCTAATCAAATCTTAAGAAAACAAGATGGCAGCAACATTCTCATCTTATCATACTTACCATTTATTGAATGGCTTCTACGGGTTAAGCATTTCATAGACATTATCCCAGCTAAACATCACAGTAACTTATACTATGTTTTAATGAAGGCTTAATGAGGCTATCATTACACATGGACAAAGAGGAGAACAGAAGCTTGAATACAAAGTCAGCCTTTAGCCACTACCTATACATATACAATATATTATGGTTAAGAAGGGTCCACATGAAAAAGAAATGTTTGAAATCTCAAATTTGCCTTTTTTATTGCTGTATATTCAGTACTTACATAACAGGTACTTCATAACTATTTACTTGATTTGTAAAGAATTTAACACTGTTACCATCAGACATTTAAGTGCCTAATAAGCAGTATTGATGATGGTGATGATGATGAAGAGGATAATGATATCAGAAAGTGGGGGAAGGTTAAAGGGTTGAACACCTGAGATTCTGCCATGACAGAGGACATAAGAGCTTCTTTCCAGGACACAGAGTTTCACACACTTAGAAGATCACACTAGAATGATGGTATTCACATGATTCAAAAACCAAGAGAGAAACAAAGGCAACAGACTTGAAGCTAAGGAACAGTCTACATGAAGGTTTATCACTGGTACTCACTGCATTAAAACCTAAATTCTTTGTATGCCATTTCTTTTATTTTGGACGTACATTTTAGTAAAATGTGTTAGTACTACAAAGTACAGTAATATAGTAATTTTCCTTATAATAAACCCAATCATTTGTTTCCAAAATTTTTAGACATTTTTACTCATTTCCCTTTTAAAGTCTATCAATAGTAAATCATCATTTTAATTAAAAGCTAAACAATAAAGTATCTTTTTATGACTTCTGGCAATTATCATTATCAATGGTTTAGGAATTTCATAAAGGTAATGTAATAAAATAATATTAGATACAGCTTACTGAATACTAGTTATACACTAGGTGCTTTTATATGTTATCTGCAGTCCTAAAACTAACCTAGTAAATTAGTTAACATTCACATTTTACATGGGAGAAAGTAAGCCTAGAGATGCTAAGTGACTTCCCAAAGGTATACGGTCAATATTAAGCATCAAAGCTGTGAATGAAACTAGGTCAATCTCACTCCAAGGCTTTTGGTTTTCCCAGTTGCTTCGCACTGCCCACAGAGAACTGGGCACATTCTGTTTCATATAGTTTTGACTGTACCAGATTCTTATTCTTATAAATCATACAGGCAGCTACAAGAAAAGACACACTAACATATATGTAATTAAAAAAAACACATATAAAAGATATAAACATAAATACCACAGAAATCTGAAATACTAGAAAAATGGCATGGGTAAAATGGCAATGACTGGATCACAGCTATTATACAGTTTTTATAAAACTTTGGTTTATAAGGTCCTTACGTCTCAAACCTATAATAGGAATTATTTTAAGATTAGAGTGCAAGTAATTTTTTTTTAATTTTTTCACCTTTTATTTAATGAATATAAATTTCCAAAGTACGTCTCATGGGTTACAATGGCTTTCCCCCCCATACCGTCCCTCCCACCCACCACCTCTCCCCTTCCATTCACATCAAGATTCATTTTCGATTATCTTAGTATACAGAAGATCAGCTTAGTATACCTTAAGTAAGGATTTCAACAGTTTGTTCCCACACAGAAACATAAAGTGAAAAATAATAGATGATTTTTTTTAAATGATGATGAAATCAGATCAGACCTATTGTCATGTTTAATCCCAGTGAGAGTCAAGTTGGGAATTGATAGTTTCTTTTTTTTTTTTTTTTTTAACAGAAGATCAGTTTAGTGTACATTAAGTAAAGATTTCAATCATTTGCACCCCCATAGAAACACAAAGTGAAATATACTCTTGGAGTACTCGTTATAGCATTAAGCCTCAGTGTACAGCACATTAAGGACAGAGATCCTACATGAGGAGTAAGTGCACAGTGACTCCTGTTGTTGACTTTACCAATTGACACTCCTGTCTATGGCATCAGTAAAGAGTGCAAGTAATTTTTAAAGTCACTTCTTTTAAAAGTAATGTTTACTTTTCCTAATACTAAATATAATACACATTCACTGTAGAAAATCTGAAAAAGGCAAAAATATCTCTGCATAAAAACTACCAAAATTTGTCTCTCATTTTTATATATGTATAAAGTTTTTAAAATAAAATTAGAATATAAATATAGCTTTCCTTTTTCACTTAACGTTCAATTGTGAAGTTTTTTTTATATCTTCAAATATACTTCAGAAATAGTATTTAGGTACTGAACAACATTTTATAATATACATGCACCAAAATTTAATAGTTCCTTTATTGTTGGATCACTTTAAATTCTTTTGCTATAATAACTAACATTTTATTAGTATTATAGTATCATTATTTATGTCTTTCATTAGTATTATAGTATCATTATATATGTCTTTTTATTTTATTTACTAAGGATATATCTACAATTTCCTTGGAGTATTTCATACTATTATTTATTTTTAAAATACATAGACATACATTTTTTATTCTATTTGATAAATCTCTTTTAGTTACATTGTTTTGTTCCAGAGAATCTATCTGATACTAATTTTTTTTTAAGATTTATTTATTTATTTGAAAGTCAGAGCTACACAGAGAGAGAAGGAGAGGCAAAGATGTCTTCTATTCACTGGTTCATGCCCCAGTTGACCGCAATGCAACTATCCTAAGCCAGAAGCCAGGAGCTTCTTCTGGGTCTCCCATGGGGGTGCCAGGGCCAAGGATTTGGCCCCTTGTTGTGGCCATTTCGGGAGTAAATCGGTGGATGGAAGACCTCTTTCTCTCTCTCTCTATACCTCTCAGTAACTCTGCCTTTCAAATAAATAAAATAAATCTTAAAAAAAAGAACACATTTTATTGCTTAATGAGTGTCCCCCTTCAAGGGATAAATGGGCCATGCAGATATATTAGTTCAAGATTCTCATTCAAATAAATTAATTACTTTAAAAGGAAAGGGGGAGGAGGGAGCCGGTGTTGTGGTGTAGCAGGTAAAGCCACCACCTCAGTGCCAGAATCACACATGGGCAGCAGCTTGAGTCCCGGCCACTCTAGTTCTGATCCAGCTTCTGCTATGGTCTGGGAAAGCAGCAGAAAATGGCCCAAACCCTTGGACCCCTGCACCTGCATAGGAGACCCAGAACAAGGTCCTGGCTCCTGGCTTCGGATTGGCCCAGCTCTGGTTGTTGCTGCCATTTGGCAAGTGAACCAGTGGATGGAAGACTTCTCTCTCTCTCTCTTTCTCTGCCTCTTTGTAATTCTGCCTTAATAAATAAATAAATTAAAAAAAAAAAGATTCTCAAGAAGTTAGGATAACACAAATCTTATTAAATTTCTTAAGTGAGACACAGGAAGAGTTAAATTATTATGAAAATACCTCAAAACAAATGTATTTCTTGTAATACTGTACTAGCAATTACTACATATATTTGATTATAGAAAGCTAAGGAACTTTCAAATTGTTCTAAATTTATATTTTACTGATTCATTTTTAACATCTCATTAAAAAATAATCTATCACTCTCACATTTCTCCACCAAAAACAAACCAAAAACTTCATGGTAGTTTGACATTAATAGAAAGGCAACCATCTGATATTCCTTTGAAGTATTTATTTAAGGCCATCTTGGCTAAAATTTCATAGTGATGTTTAGCTTTATATGCCACAATAGTATTTTGAAGACAGACAAAACTAGTTAATCATATCTCTGACCTAAAAGCTAAGAATTCTTTCATATGTAAGTATATGATAGTTTAACTGGCTTGTAAGCATGATTACAGCCTCAGATTCAATCATAAAATACAACTGCTTCTTATACTCTTTCCAATTGATATAAAAATGTGATCTCTAAAATGTCTCCTAATACTAATGCCTATTATCTTATGAAATTTCTTTCCTTGACACACTAAATATTATGAAAGTCACAGTCACAGCAGCATACAAAGATGGAGATCATAGACTCCTGCATATCATCTGATGTGCAACATATCACAGATATGTTTAACATTTTTCCCCTTGCAAAGACCTGTGAGTAAAAATAAACTCCAAAATATAGGCAGTCATTGAAAATCTTGGCAACCTTTAGCTTTAGTCTCAGGGAAAACATTGCCTCTATTGTTATTTACATCATCAGATGTAAACTTCTTAATTACTTAAACAGATTTTAGAATCAAATGAAGGTTTCCATTGGCAATGAATATATGACTATCCTCATACAAAAGAGAAGTATTTTCTCTCAAAGAGCTAAAACAATAAGTGGTATTTGAACTGCTGGTTGAAAGGTAGAAGCACTGGTAATCATTATTTCTCCTTGTTTGTTCAGGCCCTTCCAACAAAACAAACAACCTTTTTGTGATTGGATTGACATGGTGTTAACAATGCATTTAATGCCCAAATCAGTATGAATACAGGTAAAGCTCTCACTAATACCAGTACCAGGATGTTAAAGCCACCTATTTTCTAAGAAGCCAAAAAAAAAAAAAAAAAAAAAGACGGAGCTTCCCCTCCCTTGGCAAATAAGCCACTATGCTAGTATCCACCAAGACACACAGAATAACCCTACGTGTAATTCTTAAGGCCCTATGTTAACACTCAGCTACCATACCTGCTGTCTTTTCAGCAATTTTAGCTTCTGTTGCTTTCTCTCGGAGTTCAAGCTTAAGCTTTAGTTTTCTCTGTTCTTTATCTTCTTTAGTCAGCTTTTCTTGAAGCTAAAATATATTGAACAAAAAATGCAGATTCTTACCAGACAAAGGTCTTGCAGAAATATAATTAATTTCAAAGTAAGATTTTTTTCCTAAACCTTAATATAATATTATATTAAATTGCTTAAGTAGATAATCTAGAAAAATATAAAAAGTATTATATTTTATAAGTCACTAATTAACTGTTAAAAGTATAAAAACTACAAGACATTCTAAAATATGTGTGAATGATAAGAATGTTTAAGCAAATAAAATTACAAACAACAATATTATTAAAACTATCACAAAAGCAATCTCATTTATTCTTTTGTCTTAAAGCAAGAGATTTGGAAGGGACTTTCAATAAAATGGACAGCACAGCTTTCTAGCTTCTCTTAGTAATTCCAATATTTTAAAACAAAATTAATTAACATAATAATCTTAATATCAGACACAAATCTCCCTCTGAGAATGCTATCCCATCACATTCCATTTTGATTGGCACTGGCATCTGATTCATAATTGGCATGTAATAAATAACTGCTAAATGAAAGTATAGAAATATCTCATCCTCTCATAGGGAATCCTTCCAAATGTTTTTTTTTTTTTTTTAATTCCTCCCTAGGCTTTTATCATTGTGCTGTTTTCCTTCAGACATGATCAACATTCTTAACATCAGGCATCAACAATGTGATTCAGTCAAATAACAAGAATATTAAAAACAGAAAAATAAGCACAGGTTAAAAAAAAAGAAGACAAATAAAATGAACATTATTTAAGAACACTATTTATATTTAATGCTCACAGGACTGTAACTAGAATAAAATTCATAAAAGAAGGTAAAACATGACATGACAAATTGGAATGGATAAACTGCAACAAGATAACACAAGGTAAATGACAACATTGGCTAAGATTTGCTACTTTAGTGTTTAATTACATATATCACTGAGGTGAAATACAGGGCACTGATACTAATAAAGAAAGAAGAAAAGTGAAGATAGTAACATGAAAGGAGGGCATGTTTCTCATTCTCCACAGTGCTGAAGAAAAAAGTTTTACGATAGTAAAATTCAAACAAATCTATTTTTTTAGGTACCTACATAAGGCAATGAAAGCTTAATAAAAAGGAAGTGATATCACTGACTAGCAAGGCAGGAACCAAAATAATTAATTTTCATAGCCAGTCCCTTAATTATGCCCAGACAGCAAAGGACAGCAACAACAGAAAGCTGCTGTTGATTGCAAGACCCAACAAAACTGAATTATGACAGGCAACAAAGAAAATTTAGAAGGTCAACAGCTCAAAGTATACTGTATAACTATCAGACTTTCTATATTATACCTTTTTATTGCTTGTTCTGAGAATATCCAATTCTTTGAGAAGAAATGCTATTGTCTTTTCTTTATTTACATCTGAAGTAACTTGACAAGGAATCATATATCCATAATGCAAGTCATCATTTTTGTGTTCTGTAATGCTGTAATAAAAAAATGAACAATATATACATAGGATTTCTACTATACAATATCTATAAATTTTATATTTCAAATAGCAACATTTAATTTTAACAACAAATATGAAAAGATATCAGATCTTAAATTTCTCTTTATATGTACTATGGAGAAAATATGATTGATTAAAGAGAATAAATATATCAATTTCACAGAAAAATGCCAATTTATCAACTGAGAGAGTTAAATTTAAAGAAAGTATTTAGTGATGTCTGACAGATTCATGGTTAAGTATACTTAAAGTATTCAGGCATTAGAAGCCACCGTTGTGACTCAGCAGGGAAAGCCACCACCTGTGACACCAGCATTCCATATGGGTACCAGTTGGAGACCTGGCTTTCCCACTTCTGAACCAGCTCCCTACTAATTGCCTGAGAATGTAGCAGAAGATGGTCCAAGTACCTGGGCTTGTCCACCCACGGGTGGAAATTCAGAAGATGCTCCTGACTTAGCCTGGCCCAGGCCTGGTGTTGCAGCCACTTGGGGAGGGAACCAGGAGATAGAAAGTATTTCTCTGTCTCTTCCTCTTTCTATAACTCTTTCATAATAAATAGGTAAATCTTATAGAAACAATTCAGGTTTTATACTGTTGTTTGGGGTTCTAGATACATTACTCACTTTTCTAAAAATGGGAGTAATAATCAGATAATTTTAAAGAATTTTTTGAAAGAATATATTTTCATTTTTAAATCAAAAACATTAAAAATGAAAAGCTATTCATGTAATATTTAAGGGTAAGTTAAAACAAAATTTTTTTACGTTTTATCTATTGAGAATAATATCACCTTGTAAGGAAGTGTTAATAAGGAAAGGAAGGGAAAAGACATAGGCTATTTTTTGAAAGCATTGAGGTCTCTGACAATTAGTACAACTCTACTCACCTTATATATTCCATGTTGTCAACATATTATAAGTCTCATAATTCAGGTTTAGCCCAAGTTCTACTATTTATTTTCCCCATGTGGTTATAAAGATGTTTATCTCTTTTTCACTTATCTCTACCTTTATCTGCCCTCTCCCCCACCACAAATGTACTCCAATCTGAACCTCTGTAAAAATCTGTGGGGAGCAACTCGGACTATACTGTTACTGGAATTAAGACTTATTCTATGCATCTGCTCTCCCACAATGTGGCGGTGGGAGAGGAGCATACAGCTTCTACCCAGCTGCCTCTCACCAACTTGACAAGCTGCAAGAGCCGCTCCTGATTGGAGGAGAGTGGCGCGCTCGGCGTGTGGGTAGCAGAGCACGGATTGGTGGAGAGGACTATATAGGAGGAGAGAGACGGCATGGTGGTGTGGGTTGGTTGGAGAGTGCGTTGGAGAGTTCGCGGGGAAGTTCGTTACTTCGTTCTTTCTCATTTCTCTCTACTCATTCTTGCTTTGGGAGTTTGCTGTTTACTTATTCTTACTTTACTATAGAAAGGACTTGTAAAAAAAAGGGAACAACAAGCGTCCGGTCCGGTGCGGCTCCTCCGCGTGCAGAGGAGCAGCAAGAATCTAACTGATTGCTGAGGGAGAGGAACAAACCAAAATATTATAGCATTATATTAGTATTCATTAATACATCTACTAAATAATCTATAAGCACATAGAAATAGCAGTTTATATGCAAAACTGTCAGAAATTATTCCAGAAAATATTTTGTCTAGAATGAAAATTAATCACTGAAATTTAAAAACATAATATTTTCATAGCCCATGGCTATCAAAGTACATTAATCACAAAGTCCAAATCCCTTCATGAGATAGGTAGGCAAGGTGAATGGAAAAAATACAGAATGTAAAGTAATAAGGAAATGCATATGGTAGAGAACAAGACTCTTCTAAAAGTATTAAAATTCACTTAAATGAAAAACAGTAGTAACCCAAACCAAAACACATTTTGGGGTTTAATTTATCCTGGAGCTGCTAGTTTTTCTCTCCTGAGCAACAATACTTTTATATTAACTGAACAGTCATTTCTACATCTATAATGTAATATCAAAGAAATACTGAACAAAGTATAAAATCTCATCACTTTCCTTCATACTCACCTTGTGCTTTTTCACTTAGCTAACTAGGCACAGTATATCATTATTATGGAAATAGTGCTAGGAAAGATCCCAACTTCTAGTCAGTTAATGACATGTCAAATTTAATCCACACCAGAAAGAAACAGAGAAAGAAAGGAAGGGAAGGAGGTAGGGAGGAAGAGAAAGTTCTCCCAATTCTGTTTCTAAATCTCAGGCTGCTAGCACTCACTTGCATTTTTCAGTAGTGCAGTAAGCTGTCGCATCATCTGGATAAGGACTGATGATCTGAAAATTCCTTGAACTCTGCCCTAGCAGTTTCGTGTCCTCGTATGGGACTTCATTTATGAATTCATTGGATTTCTGATGCATGCTTCCCTTGGAATTCATAGTCAGTTGCTCATCTGACTGTGCACTTTTATTTCTCCCTGCAGTTTCTTGCTCAGGATAAATGTGGGCTATATCTGTATTTAAACAAACATAACATGATATATGAGACACCATAGCTGCTTATTAAATACAAATGAATAGTAATGAATAGTTTTTTCTGAATAGTCCTAAAACTTTAAATATACACTTACCAATCTTACTCCTACTATAATTGGATAAGCATGTACAGAGTGGTTGTTGCCATCAATATTCCTATTTCCAAAGTCAATAGACACTTATGATTGTAACTGACAATGTTGCACATTGGAATAATGTAAGGAGTCAAAAATATCTTAAACCCATACCACACCCTATTTTAATAAAATCAGAATCTCTGGGATTAGGACCCAATCTTTATATTTTAAGCTCACTATAGATGATTTCAGTATACATTTAAGATTGAAAACCACTGGTTGAGAGATGTACTGTTTTCTAGATACAGTAAGTTAAGGGTCATAGGAAAATGATAATGTACATGGAATGGTGGTTATGACTGCGTGGGTTAGAACTTCAGCTCTACCAAATGCATAGCTTTGGGCTGGTTACTTAACCTTTCCATGCTTCAGTTTCTTGTTCATAAAAGGGAACTATAACGTCATCTATTTCACTGAGTTGTTGTGAGGACTCAACTAATACATGCGAAGTACTTGGTCTAGGACCTGACACATTAATAAACATTAGCTGCTATTTTTCTAAGCATCACAACATGAAAATGTATAGAATATAATAATTATTTCTAACCCTCATTTTATCAGGTATGTACCATGCACGAGTATACTGCAAAAAATTCATGAAAAATGGAATTAAAAGTATGAGCTCATTTTCATGCAAAAGTTTTTCCACAATACACAGAAAATACAAATTCTGAAAAAATCATGCATGGATATAAAAAAAATTGTGCCAAGGAAAAAAGCTCCTCATACTTTTATTTACACATCATTGGTGAAGTACTCTCAAATTAGAGAATAATATCTGGATATATCACACAACTTATTTTTAAGTTACCACTAGTAAATATAATCTGTTTCAAAGGAGTAGTGCACATTTCAAAGCATAGTATGGTTTCTGGGAGAAAAATCATACATGCACACATAACTTTTTTACTAGTACATTAGATCAACAGCACAAATGGTGATTGCAATTATCATTTCATTATTTCTAGCAGAAATAATCTTGAAGTTTTTTTTAAAGAATTATTTTATTTTAATTTTTTTATTTGAAAGAGTTAGAGAGAGGTAGAGCCAGAGAGAGACAGAGAGAGAGAGAGAGAGAGGTCCTCCATTCTGCTAGTTCACTCCCCAAACGACCGCAATGGCCAGAGCTGAGATAATCCGAAGCCAGGAGCCAGAAGCCTCCTCTGGGTCTCCTATGTGGGTGCAGGGGCCCAGGGAGTTGGGCCATCCTCCACTGCTTTTCCAGGCCATAGCAGTGAGCTGGATAGGAAGCGGAACAGCTGGGGCTCACATGGAATGCCAGCACTTCAGGCTGGGGCTTTAGTCCACTGGACCACAGGGACGGCCCTTGAACTTTTCAAAAAGCAAATTCTAAAATTTTAAACTCTTAATTTTAAAGTATTTTTAAAGAACCTGTACTGTGTGATTAGGCTCTGTCTTTGGGTATCTCTAATTTTATTCATCAGTAAAAGCTTTTTTTAAAATAATTATTTGTTATTTATAAGGCAGAGTGACAAGAGTGAAACAAGAGAGAGAGACAGAGAAACAGAAGATCCTCCTTTTGCTAACTCATTCCCCAAATACCTGTAATAGCCAAAACTAGGCATTGCTGAAACCAGGAGCCAAGATCTCCATCCAAGTCTCTGACAGGGGTAGCAGGGACCCAAATACATGCACCATCATGCACTGCCTTCCAAATGCATGAGCAGAGTGCCGAATGAAAAGCTAGAGTAGCATGGCCTCACATGAAGCACTCTGATACTAGATACAGGCATCCAAGCAACACATTCACCCATTGTGCCACAACACCAGCCATCAGTAGAAAAATCTTTTAGGGCTTTATTCTGAACTGTTCATCAGACATTTAAAGACTTTTATAAATCACATTCTGCATATTCTCTACTGAGAATATAATTTCACCTTATATTAAAAAAGGCTGATTCATAAAATTTTCCTGACTTTTTTTAAAAAAACTATTTTGACAAGTATAATTTTAGCAAATTAGAGTTAAAATCTTCTTGGGCCAGTACTGTGGCTCACTTGGTTAATCCTCCACCAGTGGCACCAGCATCCCATATGGGCGCCGGGTTCTAATCCAGGTTGCTCCTCTTCCTGTCCAGCTCTCTGCTGTGGCCCAGGAGGGCAGTGGAGGATGGCCTAAGTGCTTGGGTCTCTGCATCCACGTGGGAGACCAGGAAGAGGAACCTGGCTCTTGGCTTATGATTGGCACAGCGCCGGCCATGGCAGCCATTTGGGGAGTAAACCAACAGAATGAAGACCTTTCTCTTTGTCTATAACTCTACCTTTCAAATAAAAATAAAAATAAAAATAAAATAAAACAAAATAAAATCTTCTGAAGGTTCTCAATGCAGTCCTTCTCAGTAATACTACATTATCCTCTACCAATATTTAATTATTTCGTATCAAAAGTTTAACTCTTCTATCAAATTTATTCAATATTTTAATGATAACTCATGGAAAACCTACAGTGTGATTTATCCTGTGATAGGTACTAGGGAAACAAAGATAAGCAAGCAACAGATATTCCCCTTAAGGACTCAACAGTACAGTGATTACTGCAAACTGATTCAATGACTTGAATATAATGCAGTAAGGACTATACTAGGGTTATAGAGATCACGTACATGTAAAATGCCACACATAGTCAGATGTTCACATTTTTTGCTCCCACAGAGAAAGGGAATATGCAAAGTAATAAAACTTCCAAAGGGTTAGAGTTAAGTGAAGTAAACAAAATGGTGATGGGGCCAGCGCTGAGTCGCAGTGGGTTAAAGCCCCAGCCTGCAGCGCTAGCATCCCATATGGGTGCTGGTTTCTGTCCTGGCTGCTCCTCTTCGGATCCAGCTCTCTGCTATGGCCTGGGAAAGTAGCAGAAGATGGCTTAAGTCCTTGGGCCCCTACAGCTGCATGGGAGACCTAGAGGAAGCTCTGGCTCTTGGCTTCGGGGCTCAGTTCTGGCCGTTGCAGTCATTTGGGGAGTGAACCAGAGGAATGGAAGACCTCTCTCTCTCTGGATCTACCTCTCTCTGTAATTCTTTCAAATAAACAAAATAATTCTTTAAAAAAAAATGCTGACAGACTCTGAGAATAAGAAGAGAATAAGAACAACAGGAATGGTTACAGTGAATGAACAGCTTTAGGAAAAACAAAGAATGTGTGTGAAGTCAGTATGAAACTGTAGTATTCCATTTGAACATTACTATGTGTGGCATTTTACATGTACATGATCTCTATAACCCTAGTGTATAACTCTTGTATTGAAATGAAAGACACTCCTGTAAATGAATGCCATTTTCTGCAATAAGTATCAGGTAAGGACAAAGTGTAAGATGTAGTTTGCCTGGAAATGGGTTGATGAAACAGATTGATGTGAAGGTACTTGGAGAGGAGCAATCAGGTGCTGGAAGTGCCACTGCTGAAAACACTGAAGTCATCCAGAAATACAAGAAATGGAGAGGAGAAATGAGTGCCAAATGTCAAAGAATTCAATGACTACAGAAACATGTTAAGGAAGCCAGAGACCACGAAAAAGTGAACAAAAACTGATGGTAGATGTCATTTCTTTTTACTTTTTTATTTTGAAATAAGTTGTTTTATTGAAAAGTTGAAAAAAAAAACAGTACAAAGAATTCCTATACACTCTTTTTTTTTTCTTTTGACAGATAGAGTTAGACAGTGAGAGAGAGAGACAGAGAGAAAGGTCTTCCTTCCATTGGTTCACCCTCAAAATGGCTGCCACAGCCGGAGATACGCTGATCCGAAGCCAGGAGCCAGGTGCTTCTTCCTGGTCTCCCATGTGGGTGCAGGAGTCCAAGTACTTGGGCCATCCTCCACTGCCCTCCTGGGCCACAGCAGAGAGCTGGACTGGAAGAGGAGCAACCAGGACCAGAACCCACATGGGATGCCGGCGCTGCCGGCAGAGGATTAACCAAGTGAGCCAAGGCACCAGCCCCCCTTTATACTCTTAATATAGATTCTCCAAGTATTAACAGCTTACCACATTTTTTATTCATTATCCATTATCACGTAAATTTTTTCTGAAACATTTGAGAACAAGTCATAGGCATGATGCACTTTGATTTTTCAAGACAATTTTTTTATTATTTATTTATTTGAAAAGTAGGAAACAGAGAAGGAGGAAAAAGACTGAGAGCAGGAGCAGGAGTGGGACAAGGAGAAGAGGGAGAGGGAGATTTCTCACCTACTGGTTTACTCCAAAAGTGGCAGCAACAGCCACTCTAGGCTAGCTTGAAGTTTCCCACATGGGTGCTAGGGGCCCAAGTACTTGGGCCATCCTTTTGCAGCCTTCTAAGGCATATTAGCAAGAAACTGGATCAGAAATGGAATGGCCAGGACTCCAACTGGCTAGTACTTGAATATAGGATGCCGGTGTCACAAGCTATGACCTAACCTACTGCACCACCCTACCAGCCCCTTTCAAAACAAATTTTAAGATACTGCTCTTTTATCTTGTATTTTGCCAAATTTTCTTAACCTTATTCAAGGCTCAATTTAAATACAATTTCTGAATTAGTATCTTCTCCAAACAAAAGATGATAGCTAAATTGTCTTT